TTGAATTAACCAAGAAATCAAAACTCATTTGCATTCCCAGATAAAAGTGACACATGAAATAGCAGCAGAACAGTAGAGAGAATCAGTTCGGTCTGGTGGTTAAGGCACCAGAGTAGAAAACAGGAGACTATGCATTTGTCCCATTTTAGCCATGAAAGCCAGCTTGGGTAACTTTGGGCCAGTCATTCTCTTTAAGCCCAATTCCATCTCATTGAATTGTTGTGGGGAAAATAGGACGAGAAAGGTCTGTTGGGTATGTTTGCTGCCTTGACTTATTTGTAAAAATAATAAAGGCAGCATATAAAATAAATAATAAATAAGGAATAGAAATAAATTATTACTGTGTCTGTAAAATTTGTCCATCCACCTCATCTACTGATTGTTTGCAAGTTTTGCATTGCAATAATGCAAATTTAACCACAAATATGTTACTTTAGAATATTTAATAAGATATATTAAACATACAATGCATCCAGATAATCAAGTAATATCTTAAATAATGATTCTATCTGACAATCGCTGCAATCTCTATAAAAGTTACAGAATAGCATGACATGGACCAATGAGAAAATTTAAACTGTTAACTCTGAATTCATTTGCTTAAATATAAATGAAACAGTGAAGACATTGAAGACAGTTATCTTCAGTTAAGCCAAGATTAATTATCCTGCTAATTTATTTCTGTTATCCTGCTAAACTATCTCTGCTAAGTTATCCCTGCTATCCTGCTAAGCCAGTTATCCTCCTCAGCCAAAAGCAATATGAATAAGCATAAAGACAGTTTCTTGTCTGCATTCATTCCTTGGATGACGTATAAAATCATTTTAATTGATGAGAAGTTGAACCTCCAAATGTGGTTTCTTCATATTCTACTATCAGGAATGATCAGTCTTTGATTGGTTCCTACTAATCCTATTAAGTGAACCAAAGCCTACATCAGTTCAGTATCCTATGTATCAGAAACAGAAATTCAGTTAGCATAGGAGCTCTCCCAGTGCAGAGCACAGTAGGAAGAAGCTGCTTTAGCAGGAGCTAGATTCTGAATGAAGAGAGGTAAGATTTCTTCTGTGCCTCTTTCTGGTTTTTATTGCCATGATTCACACAACATATTTCTTCTTCATGAATAGGAGCCATAACCTTATCTAATATGCTGTCACCTGAACATTGTACCATCAGACTACAGTATTCCATTGTTCCTAGAATTTAAGAGGGGAATTCTTTGACATTTCCAATATTGTGATCCAATGTTGAGTAGAATATCCCCTGTGTGATAGTCAGCGCTATCAGCCTCCTATAGCTTTCCTTGACATTGTACATACATATTATACTAGGACTAACAATAAAGCCTTTATTATTTTGATAAATAACTCAAAGCACCTCTTTGGAAATGTTCCTTCCCTTTTTGCCTCAAAGCCACCCTCTTTACTCTCTACATCTAACTCTAGTGGCTATATATCTCATTGCAAAAATTGCAGAGTAACTTTTCATTTTGAAAGTGATCAGCTACCATTATTAAGACTTTTCACTTCCATAAGAAGTAAGTAGAGCCACCAGAAATCTCTTAAGAATAAGAAAATACCATTGGAAGGTATCTTAGATCAATGTGGATATATAAGTTGACTTTAGCCACAAATCAATTTTTGAAGTCCCACAAGTTACCCAGCTGAATTGGTTTCAAATGACCTTGAAATAATCTCAATTTTTCAAAGTCTCATTAGCTTTGCTCAAAAATATATTTAACCTTCTCCTACCTCTTCTTAATACCAATCCACTAAGAGATGCAAACCCTGTTATGATAAGGAATGTACAGCCAGGACAGTGCTAGCATATAGGATGGCCAGAACAACTAATGATTTTAATACCTGTGATTTTTTTAAACACATAAATATTATAGGCGAATGAAGGAAAAAACAAGTTTGTACTAAAAGTTCTGAGCCAGGAGGTTATATGTGTTTATGGCTATGTTTTGCCTATTTATATCCTTTTATTTGTGCCAATTTTTTTCATGTGTCCATGTCTTATGTCTATACTGTTACTTGTTTCCTTGTACTTTGCAAGGAAGTAAAAGACCAGCGGAGCTATCCCTATAGAAATTATTTGTAAGAGCTAAAGGTAAGCAAGCTCACAGCAGCCTTCTGTAAGAAATCAGGTTGTCTTCCTTCATGTTGCCTTGATGTTTTTCCTAGGAGGCAAGGAGAGCCATTTCCAATGCTTTGCTGGTATGAAGCAGAATATTCTGCCCTTTAGTTATCTGGGTTTAAGAGGTTTTTAAAGAAAAGTTTCTTGAACAAAAAAAAAATTGTTTCCCTTTTCCTATTCTGTCCTATGTTATGGTAAAGCAACAAGTAATTTGATGCTAGGCTCCAAAACCCAAGAAAGATATGCAGAGTTACTTCTTCTACACTGTAAGCAGTTTCCTTGATTGTTCCTTACCTATAGATAGAAATCTTGCCAAACTAAAGCAATTACTTGCATCATTAAAGACCTGTCTGAGAACTTCAAGGGAGCAGCTATCTTGACCCTCTTTCTCCCAACCAAACTATTTAAGCTTCATGGTTTCTTGGTCCTCTGGAATGCAGCCCCTCACTCCTGGGAATCCAGACTACATTCCATCATTTGATTTCCTCTGTGGGATAGAGCCTGCATTCAAACAGAGATATCTTTTTAACATTATTTTACTGATTTATCTTAGATGTTTAGGATGCAATGCTCAAACTCTCTTGTGCAAAGAAGTCTACAGAAGCTTCAATCCCAGCAAAAATGTTGTTTGCCAAATGCAAACTGTGCTCCTGCAAATCAGAAGCTTGCTTTTCTTTTTATAAAAGAACTACTTCTCATTCTTTGTAAAACACTTTATGTGCTTTCTTCAGTGCTTTCTTTACTTGTCACAAGAGATCTTAGTAAATCTAACTCATTTAAATTTATATTGTATCTAAGTCATTTAAATTAAATCTAATTCCGTTACTGGTAAATTTATTTGTATGTTATATAGAGTGCCTTTCAGAGGAGATTAGTTCCCCAGGTAGCATTAAGAAAACCCAGATCATAAGGGAAAGTTGGGACAATGCATTAAAAGGAAACAAAACCAAAAATGTTTGCTATGGGTAAACAAGGGAGGTATTTATGCAAATAAAGTGAGTTTTACTGGAAGTACAAACAGCTGAGAGGGGGCTGGAAAACTACAAAAAGATTTTAATGCTCAGAGGCTACATTTCAAGATGAGAGGTTTTTTGATAAAGGATGGCAGCATCAATTCTCACACAATATACAATTATGAAAATAAAATGTGCTGAGGCATCAATCTGCCTGATAGGTGTGCTTCCAAACCTGAAAAGCATTTAATACAATTGCTACACACTTTTTTTTCTTTTTACGACTCTGTAATCTCTTGCTTTGGGGTGGAGTCAGGGTACCTATTGGAGCTGAGCATCTACTGGCCAGATGCCCTTCCTGATGCCTACATAGAGTTCGCAGCAGATACTTTCTCTTTGCACCTTGATAGAGAAACATCTATCACTGTGTAGGATTGAACGCTAAACCTTCTGAGTGCTTAGAAGGTTTGAGTGCGAGTGCTGAGTGGGAGTCGAGCATTTTCAGCTCTAGGCCACTATGCTGCTCCCTATTGCTACATGGTTTTTTTTTTTTTTTAAATCCCATATTCTCTTGGATATTCTTTCTGAACCCTGGGGATTTTTGTGTCAAATGTTTACTTCAGACTAAATCATATATTTTAACAAGCAAAAACCACACTTATGCTAAGCATTTTTAATATCTGAAAATTAGTACATGCTGTCATTTTGGTCATGAAACATGTAGGTCATAAACTGCCTTATAACTTAAAAAAATAAATAAAGGCCTACTGCAAAACTCTTACAGCCATCCACAAGCTAAACACTGCTGATTTACATTGTTAGCATCTATTAATCTCCTCCCAAGTATTAAATATGGTCCTCGGCCATCAAAAAGTTGTTCATCACTGTTCTAGCTTATAAAAACCTATATTCGATATGTTGACCATTAAGAAAGCCTATATGAAAATTCATAAAGGCGCTTATATTGAAGTTGTCTGTGGAGATTCCCAGAAAGTCCAGTTGCCTCTTGTACAAAATTGTTACAAGATGATTAATGTTAAAGAGTTAATTATCAATCATGTGAGTAGAAAAGAAAAAAGGATGAAAAAAAAGAATGTTTGGTCATGGAGCCATGTTTTTACCAGCTACTCATGATTAGATAGAATAATGGAAACTTTCAGATCTGCAGATTGGTTCTTCTCTGGTGCAGAGTAGCAGTTCATTGATTACTATATGGATATATTGTAATCTTATAATTTTCAGATGACTTCCTTGTAGATGTACCCAATCCCCATGTAGTGTTCATCTGCACTGCGTTGCTCAGCAGCTTGGTCAAATATTTGTTATGGTTATTTTCTATTGCAGTTGGTCTATTCCTTCAGATCACTTCAAGCTGATAACCTTTAAAACAGAGAACATTTGCAAAACATGTAGTATTGCACCACTCTGATTGTGGAATATCTGGATGATACAATTAAATCCAGTTACCTGAACTTTCTTGTTCCTGGAACTAAACTTTATGTGTTCTAAGACTTTCTAAGGTTTCCAGAAGCCCATGGGCAAAGGATCATGAGATTCTTCCTGCATCCCATGCCATTGTAATCTTTTCTTTTCTGGCCATTTAAGTTAGTGGTACACCAAACAGAAATATGTGGGAAAGTCAAAATATTGAAAACTTTCTAGGCATTATTTTCATTTAATTGTCTTGAATTAAAAATGTCTTCACTCTTTTAAAAATGCTATATTTTCCATACATATATGCAGTAGTAAATTGGCTTTGGAGAAAGGGAGCTGGAGAAATGACATTTTCAGCCTGGTGGCCCAGAGTACAGACAGGAATTTTTCAACAAATCCAGATTTTGGATTATCTATAAATGTTAGTAAATAAATGATAGCATTTTTCATCAACCTCTCTGTCCTTCTCCCTAGATCTCCTGACATACGTGATTAAGAATCCAGATTTCCTTCGAAACCAGACAGTGTATCAAGAGGTGAGTAGAGTGTGATCCTTGTGATTAATGAAAATGTAGAAATTTCTAAAACTTGATATGCTGACGCCTCTTTGTCCTTTGCTAGATGATAGATCTAGTTAATTGATTGAGACTTGAAAATAACACCCTTGCTGCTTAGTGGGGATTTTTTAGGCAGTAAAAGTAATAAAACAAGATGGTATCTGAGGTAAATCCAATGGAATATGCCCACTCCTGGAGGCAGTCTTCTGTTTAGTCTTCTATCCTTCTCTCTGTATTATGAAGTGGACAAGCATCTACAGATTAACTCTCTCTTGCTTCCCTCCATGTCTAGATGCTCAAGTATGAGACGGGCTTCCTAGTTTGTACTGTCATTGGTCTTCTGTTCATTGTCCTTGTGCCACTTGTGGGCTTCTATTTCTGTTGCTGCCGCTGCTGTGGACACTGTGGAGGTTTCATGTACCAGAAACAGAATAAGCACACTGCCTGCAAGAGACGGACTCTTTTTTGCTTTCTGCTGGGTATCACTGCTGTTGTTCTGTAAGTTTCATCCTATGGAGAATAACAGAATGTGCATGTGGCATTGTGACTACTGTACGGGCTTTTACTTATCTTTATAGTCTCTGATTTAAAGTAGCTATTCCTGCACCACTGCATTGGTTTACATTGACAGAGAATTGTGTAGCACCTTAAAGTTTATAGTTGTATCTCATTACAGTGATCCATGAAAGATGAAGTTATAATAAATTGATTACTCTTTAAGATGCTTCTTGTTGATTTTGCAACCTGACCGACATTCTGGAAATACACTGAAATCAGATTCTTTGATTTGTATGGATAGTACTAACACAGCAGATATTCCTAATATAATTTGCAGAGTGGCTGAAGGACAGAGTTAACTGAGATGTGATCCAGTTCTTTTGTCTCCTTGGCAAGTCTGTCAGGATTGTTTGTGCTTGGGGAATGGTTTCCTGAAAGTTGGGCCTAGGATGGGATGGGCCAAGTGGGGAAGCACTAAAGGAAATGACCATGTTGGGAGAGCAGATTCCACTGTGTGGGACTAAACAGTTACAAACTTGCTCTATGGCCAGAGTGCAACCATGTGATAGCAGCCTGGAATATTCCTAGTAATGCTTGATTTTGCCAAAACTCCCTTCAGCACTTCTTTTCAGAAACAAGCACATTGTTAAAACATAAATATGCCCTTGAGCATGTGTGGACTGCACACCCACCCTTATTTTTCCTTACAGAAATTCCCACACGTTAGAGAGAACTCTTAGTATATAATTTGTTTCCATGCTATTCCCAGAAGGACACAAAGATCAAAGTTAGCCATAATGTATTTTTGTTAATTAGTTTACTTTACTTTATTGTCATTGCACCTCGTACAACGAAATTAAATGCCATCTTCAGTGTACATTATAACTATAAAAATAAAACACAAACACATATCCTTCACATTCTATACAATTGAATTGAAAACCCCTGATGTTGCATTAATATTGCACTATACAGTAGAATTCAATATGGTTACTGCCCAGGGATAAAATCTGTTTTTCAGCCTATTTGTCCTTGTTTTTATTTTCCTGTACCGTCTGTCAGATGGTAATAGTTCAAAAAAAGGGTGCCCAGGATGAGATGGATCTTTAAGACTGTTTTGAACTTTCTTAAGGTAGCAGAAGCTGTAAAGCTCTTCCAAAGAGGGGAAAGGGCAACCAATGATCCTCTGGGCAATGACGTTAACCCTCTGGAGTGCTGTCCTATCTGCCACTGTGCAATTGGCAAACCATACACAGGTGCAGTAAGTTAAAATACTCTCTATGGTGCAAGGGTAGAAGGCCACCAGCGGTTTTTCATTCAGTTGTTGTTTCCTGAGAAGTCTCAGGTAGTATAATCTCTGCTGGGCCCTTTTGACCAGTGGTGCAATGTGAGTGCTCCAGGTCAGGTCCTCTTTTATGCTAACACCCAGAAACTTAAAACTGGTCACTTGCTCCATTCGGTCTCCATTGATAAGCAAGGGCTGGATGTCTGATCTGTTTCTTCTATAGTCCACTATAAGCTCCTTGGTCTTACTGGTGTTAAGGACCAAATTATTGTCTCCATACCACGAAAGCAACCGGTCCACCTTATCTCGATAGGCAGACTCATCCCCCCCCCCCAGAGATGAGTCCCACTACTGTTGTACCATCTGCAAATTTAGTAATAATAGTGTGAGTGGGAATGCAGTCATGCACATAAAGAGTATAGAGTAAGGGACTCAACATGCAATCCTGTGGTGTACCAGTGTTAAGAATAAGGGCTGAAGAAATATGATTACCTAATCTGACCCTCTGAGAGTAGCCAGACAGGAAATCCATAATCCAAAGGCAGAATGCAGACAGGATAATGCAGACACAGGATTACACAGAGATAGTGCATGGCATTGTTAACCACAAGTGAATTGATGGGGTTAGAGACAGCAGGTGCTACAGAATTAAAAAAATACATTGACAAATTATCTAACTAGGGGATTCCAAGCTGAAATCACACTATGATTCTGTAATGTTAGAGAGAATACAAGGCATTAAGTGCTGACTCTGAATTATACTTATTTTTTCCTTATATTATGCCCAGCTTCACACATAATGCTAAGGTATTTTTTAAAAATGTATTGTTGAATATAATAAACTAGCTCATAGGTAATGTTAAGGCAGAATTGGTGATTTCATACATCATGCAAAGCCAAAAAACCCTCAACTCATTTACATCTAAACATTTTAAAAGATTTGTATCCCCATAACTTTTCAAATACTTAATGCAAGATCAATGTCTAAGTAAATTTTTATTTATTCACTCACTCACTCACTGCATTTATATCTTGCCCCAGTTGGACAAGACCTCAACATATTACTATGTTTGCAGCCTGTTGAATGATGTTACTAGTTGTCCTTCACAGTTTTGTTCTTCTCTTTTTTTACTTCTTCTGCTAAAGGGCTGGAGATATATGTGCGTATGTCAGCAACCAACGTATATCCCAGAGTCTAGGGAAAGGTTTTGTCATTTTCAACAATACAGTGAGCAACCTGAATGTTTATCTGAAGTCTATACCTCAGGTAAATGTGACATACTCTATATTATATCTTTACTGCTCTATTTTATCCTGTGTATCAGTCCCAGTTGCCATCTTAGTTTTTAGTATCAAAAAAGTGGTTGTCGAGCTTTATCTCCAATGAGACCATGCCAAAATTGGAGAGCAGTTAGTCAGATGGCCGTGCTCCATACTTCAGGACAGGAGGGCATTTAGATAGGACTTCTAAAGGTGACTGTAATGCACAAGTTACACTTCTCCTTTCAGAAGGTGTGGCCCCAAGTTGTGAAGGGCTTCATTGGTTGGTATCAACTGTTTTTACTTGAAATGAACTAGCGCAGGAAACATATGGCCATAATGTCCAATCCAATTATTCATCTAGCTGCTGTATTCTGTACTAATGGATATTTCTAGACTATCTTCAAAATTAGCCACATCTCTTTCCCTCTTCCTCCCTTCCTCCCTCCCTCCCTCCTTTACCTCCAGAAGCCAAATATTGTATTTATTTTGTGTATCATATTTTTTTCAGTGACAAAAAACTCATAGGACATAGGATAGTTCCTTAGAAGTAGTCCACTAAGATCTTCAACAAATATTGTTGCAGGGCAATATAGGACCTATTTTTTAAGCGTGCTATCTTTCAGTCTTTGATGTTTATATAATGACTCTTTTGTTCAACAATTCTGATGGTTAAAGCAACTTTGCCAACTGAATCTATATACAAATAGTCAATTTATGACTTTATATCTGGCAAACATACAGGAGGGCATTTTGGTACAATAAAAATATTTTAATACTGTTGTGTTCAAATTGTATATGACATCCTACGTTTTTCCTCATAATCTCCATGAATCCTGAGTTCAGGATTTCAGTTTTGTGTGCTATCTTCTCTGCTAAAATGGGATTTTATTTCATCTCTCCCACAGGAGATTAATGAAATCGTCAGCTCTAGTAAAGTGCCATTGGAGGAGGTCAATAGTAGCTTGTCGAGTAAGTTTATGCCTTGGGTACAATTTGGGGGGGGGGGGGAAGACATATGCAGTCTTTAATGAAAGAAAGTAAAAGATGGGATTCACAATGACATAATGGAAATGCCTCAAATTGTGAAATGTCATTGTTGTACTGCATCCTATAATTACAGATTAGGAAAATACCTCTGAATGTTTCCATTCTAGAGAAATAGGAGGCAAGAGCATTATGAGTTGTACAAAATAAAGGTGCGATATAAATATTTATTGTTATTTTTGAGTGCATGAGTCCACAAACTTTTTTAGGTCAACTGATGTGAATCATATCATTTCTTGCGGAGCTTGTGTGTTTAAAGTGAAGAAAAAATGGGTATGGTCAAATCAGAAAGTATACGCAAAAACATATTTCCATTTGCACATTTCTGTCCATCTATTCTAAAAATTTTAAATGGCTGTGGGGTCTTACAGGGAAAGGACAGTGGAAAAAGTATTTTTGTTAATAACTTTGTGTTGATGCTTTCCTTCTTTGCAGATATTGGTGATACTTTGGGGAGCAAGATTAAGGATGAACTAGGTGGACGAGCAAACAAAGTATTAGACACAACTGAGCAGCTTCTTCAAGGTATTGCAAGAGAGACTGGATTGGGAAATGATATTGGGATATAATAGTAGAGTAGAAGCACAGATACATTGGTAATAGAGGGCAGCTCAGAAGTTGAAGGGACTTTTACAGAAAGTTCTCATGAAAAAACCCTAGACTTTGTTATAGTTCCAGAGACAAGTGATTTGCCAACTTCATCATAAGAGATGCTATGACAAGAAAAAAAGTTCTTGTTTTTCCCTCCAGAGCAAAATCATTGGAACGAAACTGCTGTAGACCTATTGATCAACTCCATTCTGTTTTATACATTTGAGGGGTAATTCCCTGTGGACAAAATCAGTGCCAGCCTTTTGAGATAGACCAGTTCAAGAAACAGACATTAAAGGGATTCTAGGAATGTCGTTTATTGTTATATAGGATTTAATAACAGAATCTTGATAGCCTGTCCAAGTTTCTCTGTCCCATCTTATAACAAACAAAATCAAGATGGCGTTATTTTGAACTTCTTTCTCATGCTTCTTTCTATTTCTGGACTATGTAATATCATATCCAACACCTTCCTTAATGGTTTCTTGTATCTTGTACAAGATCAGCTCTGAGTTATTTTACAATCAAGAACTAAGTGGTCACTTCAGGTTGGGAAATTGTTCCTCAGTCTTCCTACTTTTGTTCCTCTGTCCTTCCTACTTTTTTTTTAAATAGACATTCACAGCATAGACCAGGAACTCCAGAAAGTCAACCGGACTGGTGCTCGCTTGCAGGAAATGCAAAAGGAACTGAACAAAAATCTGACTGACCTGAGAAATGAGATCAATGAGACTCTGAAAGAATGTGGCAGCTCTTGTGGGAAAGTGTCCGTAGAGAACCTGACGCCTGAGACCAATTTTGATACGGTAGAATGGGGTTTGGAAGAGAGAGAAATATTTGGATGGGCAGGGTGGATTATTTGACAGCATAGGAAAAGACCTCATGGGTATGGTGAACTGTTCAGTGTGTTTGTGGGGGAGCATAGAAATGCAATTCATGATACATCTTAAAAGTCAGGCTAAGGAAGCATAATGTAATTGGGATAAGACTGCTGAGATAATTGACCCATGGGAGGCTGAAATCAGAAGCCATAAGATCAAATGTGCCCCAATTGTAACACAATATAGGATAGATTACAATGTAGGAGTATGTTCTCAAGATGTCTAGATCTGTGTTCATTAACTCCTAGTCATCCATATGTATACACACATTTCTATGTGGCAGCTGTTGCTTCATGTGTTTTTACTTCATCCTACCTGAAACATAGTGCATTCCCCATTGCTTAATTGGGGTTGATCAAACAATAAAAATATATGTTTCTGCATTATTTCTTTCTGCAGATTCCTGATGTCAGTGATCCACTTAATTTGATATCGAATCTGACAAGTCTAGATCTCAACAGTACTGTAATAAAGGTAACACCCTCCTTTTCTTCTACAATTATCCTTTCAAGTATCTACTCTTAAGTGCCAGTGCAATAAGATGGGCTGCCCATGAGAGGAACAGGACAAAATGGTCACTTCAACAATCATTGGGCATTGTTTGGAGTCATTTTGTTCATGGACTGATGAACCCTATTTATATGAAACCTGTCCTGTGTCCTCTAAAGGAATTAAATCTGTTAATTTGAGGAAATGGCAAATGTATCTTCTTGGGGCTTTGTCTTTTGTTCAACAGTTTGGGGTCATGTTTTACTTGACTGACATTCTGAGATCTGAGCTTTGTTTGTATGTGTCTTCATCTGTGTCTGACTGTATCTCTTTTGCTTGTAGGCTAGAAATTTCATTGAAGAAATACCACAGAAAGTCTCTGATCAAACCAAAAAGGAGGTATCTGGTAAGTAACCCAATCATAGAATCTCATCTTCATTTCACACATTATTCTGTGGTTTCCAAAGGCCTGTAGGTGTACGAAATTATTCACATGACTGACATTATATATGGGGAGGGGGTGCATTTATAAGAAAAGGTCTGACATATCCCTCCCTCATTTGTGGATACCTTACAAGCATCCCCACTTCAGCTAAAAACAGTTGTCCAGTATGCCCATCTTTCCAAAAGAAAGGCTTCTATCTTCTTCCTCACAAATGTAATTAATTAATTTATAATATATGTATTATATTTATATCTCACATTTCCATTAGAATCATAGAATTAGAAGGGAACTTTTAGGTACATTAATTGAGTCCCTTCCTTAATGCAGACATTCAAAATAATGCTAAATTACCTCCCCTGAAGGACAGCTCACCATGTTTCACATGCTTGGTTCCACTATCAAAAGGTGACCTTTGGAATTTTCTAACATTTAGCTGGAATCTCTCTTCCTGTTTCTTATGACCATCATTCCATCTCAGGGATAGAGAACAGGTCTTGACTTCTGTGTGACACCTCTTCATTTCCTTATATTCCCCTTCCAAAATATTTGCTCAGGTCCAAACATACCAATTTGCTTTGACTTCATTTTCAAAATAAGAGTTACCTTTTAATCCCCTTGTTGCTCTTTTCTGCAAGTTTTTAACTGAAGTTCTATTAAAGCGTGTTGCCCAGAACTGGACACAGTACTCAGAATAGAATGTAATTATAACTTCTCCTGACTAGGTAAACAAAGTTTTGTTCACACAGTCTAAGACTGCATTTGACTTCTGAGTAGCTATATTTTGAGTTGCCAATTCCTATTCAGTTGTAAGATTTTTTTTTCAGATTTAGCATTATCAGGCCAGATATCCTTCCATGCTCTCTACCTATACATTTATTTTATTTTTTCCTAAGTGAAGACCTTCCTTTGTTTCATTAGTACATTTGCTTTTGTGATTTTTCTTAAATCTATCAATATAATTTTGTATTGGGTTTTAATCCTTTTAAGCAATATTCTCCAACCTGAAAACTTCTAGATATACAGACTAAGACTTCTGGCATTTTCAGGAATGGCCAAACTGACTGGGAAATTCTGGGAGTTGAAAATCATACATCTGGAAACACTGTCCCAAGTATTAATCCAGGTTGGGCTATCCTACAGTATTAGCATCCTAGAGTATTAGCAATCTACCTAGTTTTATGTCATCTTGATATTTGATAAGCATTCCTGCCAACTGTTTATTTAAAATAGTTAATGATAATTTTGAAAGGTGCTATAAATAAATCCTAAATATATAGTTATTAATAACAATAAAATATAGACTGAAAGTCTACTGATAATTAACCCACAGTTAAAAATATATGTATCTCGATCTCTCTGTATGTATATCTCTGTAATACAAAGGTCTGTGGTATAGGCCAAAGCCTGTCCGAATAAATATATAGGTTTCCTGCTAGAAGGAAGCCTGGCACTTCTGGAAGAGGGCTCCAAAGCCCAAGAGCAGCTATAGAAGATGTCTCCTCTTGAGTTTTCATCAAATATTCCTCAAAGAGTAGGATGTCTCCAAATGATTTTGGCAAGCGGTGATGGCATTTCAAAAGGCCTCGGCCCATGCTGTGTACAGCTTTATAAATCATAAGCTGCACTTTGAACTGTACTCAGAAATTTACGGTAAATGCTTTACTCTGCTAGGATGCCATTATTTCAGTTCCTTCCAAGCCATAGTCTTGCTGGCTTCCTTAACACACTAATGTCAGTGTCAGTATTTTTTGCCTAATGATGTTTCCATTCTTGGCGTGAATACAATGGTCAGTATGGTATAGATCACGGGTGTCAAACTCAAGGCCTGGGGGCCGGATCCAGCCTGTGGGGTGCTTAGATCTGGCCACCCTGGAAACAGCAAAGGCTTGGCCCATGGTGCCTCTCCTAGTGAAAATGGAGCTCGAGAGAGCCGTGTATAGCCCACCCGAGCTCTGTTTTCACTGGCAGAGGGTTGCCAGAGGCTGTCGCAGCCAAAAATGGACCTTGAAAGGGCTGCGGGTGGCCCTCCCAAGCACCATTTATGCTGGCAGAGAGTTACAGGAAACTGTCACATCCAAAACTGGAGCTCGAGACCCCGTTTTCACTGACAGAGCACTCAGGCTACCACAGGCGCCCCTGACAGTGATGTTGAGTTGGCCACGACCACCCTGGCCACGACCACCCCAGCTCCCCGAGGTCAAATACAACCCTGATGAGACCCTCAATGAAATCGAGTTTGACACCACTGGCGTAGATATTAAGTAATTAGTACCCATATATACCAAACCTACTAGTTTTTGCATGCAAAAAAGCCCAGGTCCAGTCTCTGGCTTCTTCAAGTAGGACTTAAGAGATCCATAGCAGAAAGTCTGAAGAACTGCTACTCATTAAGTAGCCTGCTTGCTTACTGTATTAACTTATTGGGTGGTTTATTGTCTTATGTAATTATTTGCCACTCTAAAGACATTCACATCGTGGATGCAATATGTTCTCACTAAATCAAGAGTGCAACAAAATTAGCCTCAACCGATGTCATCTCCAAGTTTCTTATTTCTAACATCTGTGCAAGTTAAGAAAGACTTCAGTGAAGCAGTATACTTGTGTAGAAGACTTTTCCAACTTTGGTTAGAGGTAGAGGAGAGTCCACCAATCACATAGAAGAAGAAGGCTGCAAGGAAGCTTTCAGGCACTGAGAAGCTGTGATAGACTTCTATGCAGGTACCCTTTTGATTTTTGCAAAAACTCCCAGATGTTGAGAAGTGGTTGAGAAGCAGTATCCCTCTGAGGATTTGCACAGTCTAATCAGTTTCCTTTTTTTTACACCTGTATAAAGGCACACATTTATCCTATCTATGTATGAATCAGCCCATTATGGCTTGCTTAATTAACCATTAAAATGGTTAAAAATCCTGGGAGTTTGTAAGAAAATTAGACAGTGTAGATCATGGATATCAAACGGAAGGCCCGCAGGCCGGATCTGGCCAGTGGGGTGCATAGATCTGGCCCACGGGGCCACCTTGGAAAGAGCAAAGGCACCTGCAGTGCCTCTGCCAGTGAAAATGAAGCTTGGGGGGCCCTGCGGCGGCGATGGCTGCCTGCAGCCCTCTGCCAGCGAAAATGGAATGTGCGGCCCTCCCGGGCTCTGTTTTCGGCTGCAATGGCCTCCTGCAGTCCTCTGCCAGCAATAGTATCTGTACAGAGTACGAGTTGGAGAGCTTAACATATCCATTGCCCTTGGATAATTGTTATTGTTTAGGCAGTCCATGATAATACACATAGTATAATGGGTTTATCTGTGTTTGCTCCTATTATTAAAGAGATACAGGATGAACTTCGCAGTGTCGAGAAGGGAATTAATGAAATCAGTGATAAGTTTCACAAGCTGATCTCAGTGAAGGATATCTCTGCATTCATGGAAAATATTGTAAATACAGCAAATGACTATAAGCCACATGTGGTCAAATATGATGACTACAGGTAGGAATAAAACTTTTTTCAATTTTTCATATGTTGCATTATTACTTGGGCTGAATTCAGAGTTCAGATGGAATGATATCTACATTCCATTTTAGCAGGCAGAAGGTCAGTTATAGAAAAATATTGTGTAGCTCAGAAGAAAAATGAGGCCTGTAGAGTTCTCTGTTTCAAGCATTGTTGTTTGAATGAGCAGCACCTCTAATCTGCAAAAGTTCAAAGCTCTATTTAATCAGCATTTAATACTAGTTCTTATGCTTTGGGCTTGAATTGGATCTTATTACTTTCATTACTTCCTTTAATTTCTAGTGCCTGTGTTCATAATGCACTGAGCTACAAATGATCCAAGCACATTTTAGCCTAGGATGCAAACCCATTTCATGCAGTTACTTTGTGGATGAATGTATTATGCACCTGAGAAAATTTGGTTAATTGAGAAAATTATAATCCTGGTTGGTAAGCATCCTGTTTGAACAAAACTAGTCTGTTGTAGATGTTAGCACAGCGTGATCCTATCTTATTCTGATTTCAACTGAATTGAACTGATTTGACCTCATTGAGCATGTTTTCACCTCTTCCTTCCTGCATTGTTGTTTAAAGTCTGAGTGTTAACTAGTTGATTTTTTTCACTACAGGTGGGGTGTTGGCGTCTGCCTTTGCTGCCTGTTGCTTGTAATAATTGTATTCAATGTGTTGGGCCTTTTGCTTGGTGGTCTTGGGCTAGATCCAAATGGAGTGCAATGGCCTACCAAACGGGGCTGCCTCTCCAACACTGGTGGAAACTTCTTTATGGCGTAAGAAATGTTATGTTCTCTCCCTCCTCAGTATGGGGAAATAACTGACAATAACCTCTTTGTATCCTTCCAGATCATAGCCACAAACACTGCTTGTATTTTTATATAATGTTAGTTGCTTTGGAGAAAGCACTTTATGGAAAGTTTTCTAATTTTACACTTAGCATAGATTCCTATCAGGAAAATATAGAGTGGTATTGTACACAAGTGCCACTGTTGATGGCAAGGTACACTACTAAGTTGAAAATGTCCTTGCCTCAGCACATTGTTTTCCTGCCTTGCTCTGTGGATCTTCACAGAAGTGGCACCATGACAATATAAAACCCAACTGTAGAAAGTTCTGTGTGTTGCTCACATCCAAATCAATAGTTGTATTGTAGACCTCTGATTGTTTCTCATCTTTCATGACAGGAGTGTTGGATTCAGCTTTATATTTTCATGGTTGCTGATGTTGCTGGTTCTAGTATTATTTTTAGTTGGGGGCAATTCATACACATTGGTGTGCCGGCCTTGGGCCAATGGAATTATCCTTCAGGTAAGCCACCCAAGTTGCTACTGTATTTATAACTGTTGTGTCCCCTCATGATTAGGAACAAGGAGACAAGGGCTGCTCAGAGTTGGTTGATAATTGAAGTTGCACATAAGCCTAATAAAACAAATGCATAAATATTATGACACAGGGAAGGATAGCTCATGTTTATAGAGTTAATAATGGTGTATTAATTTGCCATCTTTGTTTGCAGTTCCCTCTTCCAACTTTCATAAGTCATTTTTATTTTAGTCTCTGGCTGCAGCAGTTTCAGCTTCAGGAGAGGAGAAAATACAGCTGGAGGAATCAGTAAAGAGTTTAAGAAAATTTAGAAAAGATTTCATCAGCTGCCACTTATCTTTTTTTCTAGTATCTGGATACATCTGGGGTGCTCCCTCAATTAAATGTGAAAAAGCTCATGAATTTGAACGGTTCTGATGTAAACCTGACCAGCATATACAAGTAAGTGCCAGGCTGCTTGGCTCAGCTGCCATTATGTTTCTCTTCAGCTTCCTGAAGGAGAAGGAGAATCTGGAGAGAACATAAATGTTGCAGGCCTAGTGAAATAGATTTTGGAGGTTGTACAGAGGGAAACCTTGTACAGAAGAAGGACATAGCTGATTATCAACCTGTAATGAAATACATGGAAGCACTATACAGATTAAAGCAGTGGTTCCCAACCTTTCTTAGGCCATGCCCCACCTAAGCATCTCTAAAATCCTGATGCACCCCCCCCGTGACATATAATTCTTCAAGTCTTGTCTATTTATATATTAAAAAGTGTTGCTAAGGTCTAGAGTCTAGAGTCTAGACACTACACATTTTTGAATTGCCCCCATTAAAAATCAAATTGTCCCCTATGGGGCGTGGGCCCCATTTTGGGAACCACTGGATTAAAGTATTAATAAATGAGTAAAAGCTTGATAGAATATCGTATGAACCATATTTCCAGAATGTGGTCTCTGCACAAATCATGTGCTTTAGGTTTGCAGCCTCCAACCTTTTGGGTACCAGGGATCCAAACCTTCCATGGAGAAAGATTTTTCCTTGGACCGGAGGGGGCATGGTTTTGTGTGCTGCCTGCATCCCGTGGATGGAGCTTTGCTTGTCTGTATGGACTGGTTGCTGGCATGCCATGGACTATTGCTGGTCCAAGGACCTGGAGTTCGGGACCACTGCTTTAGGTCCTACCTTGACAGAATTCTCCTAAGCAAGTCCCTTCAGTTTCCCCTTCCCGGTAGATGAGCACCTCTTATCCCAGCCCATTCTTCCATTCCATTGGTCCCAGATAGTCTGTACATCACCTAAGTGACCGGAAACAAGTTGCTGTAATTGCAGTGAAGCAGTTGAAAATAATGTACATATTTTTGCTATCAATGGCAGAAAAAGCTGAACTTTTCCCACCTGCTCCTTGCAAGGAAGAAGACTTGTTGTTTATGTGTGCAAGTGATAGGAATGAATACAGGTAGTTCTCAATTTATGATCACAATTGAGCCCAAAATTTCTATTGCTAAGTGAAATATTTGTTAAGTGAGTTTTGCCCCATTTTACAACCTTTCTTGTCACAGTTGTTAAGCAAATCACTGCAGTTAAGTTAATAACACTGTTGTTAAGTGAATCTGGCTTCTACATTGACTTTGCTTGTCAGAAGGTTACAAAAGGAAATCACGTGACTCCGGGACACTGCAACCGTCATAAAGATGAATCAGTTACCAAGCACCTGAATTTTGATCACATGACCATGGGGATACTGCGATGGTCATAAGTGTGAAAACAACCATAAATCACTTTTTTCTGTACTATTATAACTTTGAATGGTCATTAAATGAACTGTTGTAAGTTAAGGACTACCTGTAATGTGCCTGCTTCTACAGTAAGGCCATTCTGAAGAGGCATCCTGGCCTCTTAACTCAAGTTTTCCTCTTTTAAAGGAATTGCGAAGAAAATGCACCCTTGTGGAGTACTTTACACCTAGATGAGATCGTCTCTTTGAATGACACCTTCAACATCAGCAAGGTAAATGATGGCTGCCTATACTGAATCAATCCGGTGCTAGAGAAATGCCATAATCAGTTAACATTTTGTTCCCAGACATCAGCTTAGGGTTGTCACCAGGAATAGTTACAGCCTCCTTGAATGGTTCTAGAGAATGTACTGAAAAACAAATGAAGTTGTGCTCTGCATATAGTCATCTGGCATTTCTCTTTTCCCTCTAGTACACTCAAAGCATTGATTCAACCTTGAATAAAATAAAGATCAATATTGGATCTGTTGAGCTCCTGAAGGATGACCAAAAACAGAGCTTGCTGGATCTGAGTTCAAAAGATGGGCCTCTGAATGTGGATTTTAACAGTACTCTTGAACAAGTAAGATAAAAAATAAAGAAAAGGCTTGTCAAAGAAAGGAAAAATGTTGTTATAAATTCCTTCCCAGAAGGAGCTCTATAAGGACCAGACATTCTTCTGTATCTTCTCCAACTGCTCTGTTGGAGAATGGGCAATGTTCACATTTACTGGGGAACACATTGCTGTTTCCTGACACAGACGTTAAAGAGTCTGCTACCTGAAGGATTCTGAGTTGATATTGTCAAATATTATAGCTTATTGGCAACTGCTCCAGTTGTGATTGTATTTGGCTAAGCCCTGAGGTTACCATCTATAGCCAAAGAGTTGACAGAATATTTACAATATGTACCTTTAAAGTTTTGTGTGAGTTTTTTAAATTGTTCATTTTTTTAACATATATGTTTCTTTTTAGCATTCTGTGTAAATTAACATCTCAATATAGTATAATGAAATAATAAAAATGCAATAAAAATGTCATTCTTTATAAATAACAGCAACTACGAGTAATTAAGCAGTGATCAGATAGGCTAGCATGATTGATCAATTTGCCTGCTAATATTGTGGACACAATAGAGAAGAAGACACACTTTACCTAGTCCTTAAAGGATAATCAGAAAACTTATTGGATTGCTCTGCTGTCAGAAAACAGTCATAAAAATACCTATGTATCCAAAAGCAAATAATCTAACAGTTGCTAGTGGACATTCGAAAAATCTCTGCTAGTAGATCAGCAGAAAACAGGGATGAGGTGAACTCACTCCTCCTAGTGATGAGATGAGGAAAAACAATAACATGTATTGTATTAAAACATATGAGTATTGACTGGAAAATATGCAGAAATATTCAAAAGTAAATCTGCCTTCAATTCCATATTTAATTCATTCAAGTGTATTTTGCTTGCTTGACTTCTGTGTTCTCTTTTTCTCCTTTTTCTACAGCTTAACCAGAATCTGACCAAACAAAATCTGAATACCTTGGCTAATAACTTGAAAGAACTGGCAAATACTGTGAGTAGTCCTTGGGAAAGGATACCCACATGATCTTATATAACTGTCTTCCTCAACTTCTAAGTATACAGCAGATGTTATGGGAAATCCTTTTGAGTAGACATGGAATTTGGCAGATATAGCTATTCTCCCAGCTGCTGCTGGAAGATGTAAACTAATTCTATTCTAAATTGTGTCTTGGAATGTGGCCTTCAAGTAGCTTTGACAATGAACTGCACAAAAATAACAAGACATCAGGAAATTCTGAATAATAATAATAGTAATAGTAATAATAATAATAGTAACAAAAGCAATAATAATAATACTCACTGCTCAAGAACAAACACTACAAACTAATGCCATGAAAGCAAAAATACAACAATCCACCAACAGTCCAAACTGCTTCACATTTAATATGTGAATGCAGCAAAACTGCACAAACTGGTTACAAAGCTAGACATGACTGAGTTGCTAAATTAATCCATTGGTCATTATGTAAAAAATACAACTTACCTGTATCCAAAAAGTCATGGGAACATAAAGTGGAAAAAGTTATAGAAAATGAGAAGGTGAAGATCTTGTGGGACTTATGAATACTGACGGATTGTCACTTGGAACACAACACGCCAGATATCATAGCTGTCGAAAACCGAAACTTACAATTTATTGACATCGCGGTACCAGGAGATGCCAGAGTTGAAGAAAAAGAACTGGAAACAATTATGAAATATCACGACCTGGCCATCGAAACTACACGGCTATGGATGAAACATGTAACAGTGATACCCATTGTCATTGGGGCACTTGGTACCATGTCCAAGATACATCAACAAAGTGCAGTTTCCTGCAATAATACCAGTAGAACTGCAAAAAACTGTGCTACTTGGAACATCATACATCTTAAGAAGGTACTTGGTTGATACCTAGGACCCTGGCAGCAACCCGTATCTACCATTAGCACCAGTCAATGGTATTTGTGATGCACTTTTGAATGTTCAGTTGACTGAGTTTCATGTTTAATGAATAAAGTAAATAACAACAACAACAATACTGTATGCTACCTGATTCCCTACAACCCTGGATAGCTCACAATAATCAATCAAATACATTACAATAAAAATCAATAAAATATAAAAGTTAAAGAAAAAAGATATCAAGCACAACAGACCAGATGGAATGAAGTGAGAAGTCTCATTCACCTCACCAAAGGCATGGGTGAAGACATGGGTGGCTTGAATTGCACCTTAAATTATACCCAGAAGCAAACTAGCAACCAGTGCAAAGCAGAGATGTTACATGGGCATACCAAGGCCTGTGCATCACCATTCCTGCCATTGCATTCTGGGCCAGTTGAAACTTCTGGAAAGTCTTGAAGGGAAATCAGTGTAGAGCACATTGCAGTAGACAAACCAGGTGACTAGGCATGGCCGACTATCTGAAGGGACTCCCAATCTAGAAAAGGGCAAAACCTGTACACCAGAAGTGCAAACACCCTTCTGGTCACAGCTGATACCTGCTCCTCAAGCAGGAGCTGTAAGTCCAGGAAGATTTCCAGATTGCATACCAAATTTGAAGAGGCAATGTTACCTCTTCCAATGGTCAAGAATATGTCTGGGCTTAGAGAAAGAAAGAGAACCCTCTAAAATTGCTCCCACAATCCCTAACCCATGGAGTTATCTCAGGATACTGTGGTCAATGATATTGAAAGCTGCACATGATCTCCATCTTGGCTCAACCATATGCTCAATCAATAAACATGACCAAGGCTGTCTCAGTACTAAATCCTGGTCTGAAACCTCACTGAAACAGTTGGAGTAGAACCTGTTTTGAACTAGAAGGTAATAGTTGAGGGAGAATGGAGTGAAATGGGGCATTGAAATTGCAGAGTACAAATGCTAATTGGATATGACTCCATGTCAAGTTTAATGAATACTGTGTGTATAAAAACAATAAATAATCTAATATCATTCATTCATTTTCAGACAACCAGTGATACAGGTAAAAAGTTGCAACGTCAAGCTGATGAGCTGAAGGAAATCCAAAATTGGATAAACCTCAAATTTCCTCCAGAAATTGTGAGTGTGGTTTCCCTTGTCTCTCTTTATCTTCTTTGACCAAACTTGGTATAACTGATTGAGGAATTTATTTGTTTTCTCCCTTAGAAAGCCTTGAAGGAAAGCATCCAGAGCTTGCAGAAATCTACACCTCAAATTCCAGTAAGCAGGCTGGGTGGAAGTGAAAAACTGGGGAAGAGGCCTTTGATTCTAGGGTTTCTAAAGATTTCTGTAAACAACTATCGTTGAGATATTTTAGAAGTTCTGCTAGAGGCCAATCTGTTGAGATAAGAGATAGAAAATTGTGACTTCATATTACTAAGTGCCAATTGGGGAATTCAGAAATTTATCTTGGCATAAAAAGGTTTTAAATTTATTAAATTTATGACAAAACTGAACACAATTAAGAGGTTGGTAGACATCACACAAAGGAGAGAATGAGTATGGAAGGTCCATTTATAGCACGGGTGTCAAACTCACCACATCACATGACATATGACTTTTTTTCTCCTTTGCAGAGCTGGGATGGGCATGGTCTGCATGTATTGTATCTGGCCCATGCGCTGCCAGTTTGAGACCCTTGATTTATAGCATTAGCAGAGCTATTTGTGTGAAGTTGAATATCATTGATTTAAAATGCTTATTGACATCATTCCCTTCATGTTTAATTTAATAAAAATGTATCAAAGAACATGTCCCAGCTTTCAATATGCTGTGGGATTTGTGACGCTAGATGTGCAAGCTATTTTTCTTGAGCAGACAGCTCAGATGTATCTGAATAGAAGCTTTTGAAAGAATCTAACACCGATATATCCCACCAGAATCGGATAAACTTCACGCTGTCGGAAATAAATGAGACCAATTCATTTATACAGCACCAGACAGAGAATGTTATAAAAAATGTAAGTTTTCATCAGTACCTTAGTATGTTTGTCTGCTTATTTATTTACAATGGGAATAAACTGTGCCAGTTGGCCCCAGCACTTTGGTCAGAACTGACATCAGCAATCTAAAGTGAGATGGGGGTGGGGTGGGGGGGGATGAACAGACGCTCCAGGATCCAGCATATTATTTCCTAGGGCTGTGCATGATTTAGAAAAAGTCCTTCAGACATTGTGGGAGTACTGTTGTTCATTAAGTGGCCTGAAGGAAAATGCTGCTACTTTAAGGAATCCACTCATTAAGCCAATAGGTAAACCTTAGGCTAGCTTCAAACCCTGAAAAACATTGTGCTACTTTCATCAATATAGGTAGCTTTTGATTTATGACATAGTTGGGGCCAAAATGTTGGTTGATAAATGATATTGTCATTAAGGAAGTCATCACGTGATTGGATCACAATTTTATGACAGTCATTAAGCAAATCATATCATTAAGTGAATCACATAGTGTTTAAATGAATCTGGCTTCCCCAATTGACTTTGCTTGTAGGAAGATAGCTGGGCAGGTTGCAAGTCTCAATCACATGACCACAGGATACTGCAACCAGTTGTAAATGGGAGCCACTTGCATTCCTGCATCCATAGGAGTGGTATGATGGTCTTAGCTTTGAGAACTGGTCATAAGGCACTTTTTCTACAATCATTAAACAAATAGTCATAAATCCAGGACTACCTGTACTAGTATGGCCATGCTTCTTATGCTTGCAGGAAATCTGAAATAGTTCTTCTGAGTTATTTAAGCATGGAGAGCCTTATTACCGCTAGCAAATCTTGCATGAAAGAGCTGTGCTTGCTTGCTCCTTCTCCCCCCCAACCTGAGTCTTCTAGAGCTTCATTTCCATTCATGGACTGCAATGCAATTTATATAGGATAGAGCCGTGGTGGTGCAGTGGTTAGAATGCAGTACTGCAGGCTAACTCACTGCTCACTCCAGGAGTTTGTTTCTCACTGGCTCAAGGTTGACTCCATCCTTCCAAGGTTGATAAAATGAGGACCTAGATTGTTGGGGGGTCAATATGCTGACTCTGTAAACCTCTTAAGATAGGTCTGTAAAACACTATGAAGCGGTATATAAGTCTAAGTGCTATTGCTATATTTATGCTCCAAAACTGAGGGATCTGCAATGCAGTTTATATAGAATATTTACACTCAAAACTGAACCATTTCCTGGGTTTGAACCCATCCTCTTCTCTACTTCCATGTAGGAGACCAAGACTTTTATATGGAACACAGTGAATTATTTTTCCTCTTATCTGACATGGGTTGAGAGTTCTGTAAGTATTATCAATCATTTCTAATAGAATAAGGATGGTCTTGCTGGGCTTACACTTTTATCTTGCCAACACTATGTACCAGCAGTTATCTGTCCAAACCCTTACCAAACAACATGTAGATTCAAGAGGCATGACTATTTTTTAAGCCAAGAACCTTTCCATTCCCTTGATATGTTGTATGAAGATCAGTAGAATTGTTTGGTGACCCAAGTAAAACTTATCTATTGTTTCAATATACCAATTGTGCTTTGTTAATCTGGGTTTAAGCATAGTATATTGTATAAGGGCAGCCATAAAAATGCAGTATACAATTATTGAGGGATTGAGCTTTTCCTTCTGGGTTGGAAGATAAATTATTATAGATTTCAAAACATATGGTGGTCAAATAATGAAAATTATTGTCCTGAAGATCAGAGCTTGGTTTTCTCTGATGAAACGTCTAATGAAATGTTTTGTTTTGCTTTTAAATCTTTGTTGGCAGATCATAGGAGAATTTGGTCGCTGCGGTCCTGTAGCCTGGGCACTGGATAGCGTGAATACCATTGTCTGCAATTACCTTGTTGATTCTTTGGTGAGAAAATCAGTAGGACTAATCAGAACATTAATTGAGATGTAGGATTGCTAATCCTGTCAACATGGAATTAAGGCAAGAGATGGTCGTTACAACAGAGTGTAACACCAAATTGTAAATAAGAGGAGCATATGATTATAATTGTCTTGGGCGTCAGTTTGCTGTAACAACCCATGTCTTAATTTTGAGAAAAAAATGCAGGGAGAAATTAGAGGTGCACATACTTCTGAACAGAAACAGGAGTGGAAGGTACATAAAGAATGCTCTAGCTAGTGCATATTAAGACCAGAAGGTGCAAATGCCTTCTATGTGAGGATATGTCCATCATTAGAGATATTTCTCTTGGCAGTCTCAACCAACTAAAGCTGTGCTGAAATACGTAAAGCATTGCCTCCAACAATTTATCCCTTTTGTTTCCCCCTCCTAGAATGCCTTCTGGTTCAGTCTGGCCTGGTGCACAATCTTTCTGCTGCCAAGTATCATCTTGGCTGTACGGCTTGCCAAGTTTTATCGTCGAATGAACGTCGATGACATATATCAGTAAGGATGATTTATACGTAGTAGGGCATGCTGCTCCCCCCCCCAATATTGTCTATGAACTAGTTTGAAAATTTCTTCAGAATCATCTGTGCAAGTACCCCCAACCCCTCCTGGGGCTACATTTCATATAACTGCTTCAGAAATGTGATCTTGCCATAGCATAACTGGAAGATCTTCCTTTTCTCTGCTTCTCTGTGTCATGATGTCCAATTCAATCACTAATTATTTTTGTGGTTCCCAGTCTATTTTTTGTGAGATCTATCATGTGGAAGTGGCAATATGCTGTGTGTATATATATATATATATATGTTACTGACATATCCCTTTCTTCTATTAGGGATGAGATTATGGAAAACTTTGAACTGTGAGTATCTTTCCGTATCTGTGAGCAATCTTTGCTAGGCAGCACTGAAGTTCAAGCAAACGTATTAGGCTAAAGAAGAGCTATTTAATTAGCCACTAAAGGAGTCTGAAAGCCATTTGGGGTGTAGAGAATACCAAATATAGTGTAGGCACCTCCCTGTTCTGGTGTTAATACTTAACAAGGAAATGAACATAATGGTGTGCAGAGTGGGAAACTCATTGCAATACTGTAAGTTTTTGCAATACTGCAAGTTTTTGTCACATGACGACAAATAATGCTTGGGATGATGTGAAAAAGTAATGTGTGGTATGTTTATCAGGGTAGAGAGGATTTTTAAAACTCTTATCTTATAGCATGAACTAACAGTGAGGGACTGAGAACTGCCGAACAACAAAGCAAAATCTCTAAAGCTTCCTATTTCCTAATCATCTGTACCCTTATTGTGGCTTACCAACCATCAAGGTTCAATTTTCTTAATTTCTTCTTTTCCCATTACAGGTCAAGGCAAAGCATGTTCAAAATGCCCCGGGCTGAGCTGAAGAAATAACATTTCCTTTTTCAACATTCCCTCTCTGAGAAGCTATGAATGCAACAAACAACGGTCGAGAGAAGTCTTGGGTTTCTCTTGACATTGTGCAGTGTGTGGATCTTTGCCACATTTTTTTCCTGAACAAGTTTGTAAGATGGCAACCACTTTTTCCCTTCAAAAGAGACTACTGTGCCATAAACCGTGTGACAGAGAAGTATAGTTTGGCTGTACACTCAGTCTATGAAGAGGGTTGTGCTCTTCTCTAGAGATTAGGCTTGCAGTCTATATGCTGTCCATTTTACAGGAAAAAAACCCTGATGCTCAAGGGGCTCCATAGTGATACCACGGCATTCTACTGAATTACTGTACAGACCCCAATATATAGCAGAACATCTTTACAGTAATTCTTTTGATCAACAGATCTAGAAATCTTTGCTAGATTAAGCTGAATTGCAAATAGTGCCTTCCTGGATCAATACCTACTCCATACCTACTTTAAAGGTTGATACTCTGAAGAGAAAGCAAATATGAGCCATAATGAAATACTACTGAGCAGTTTTGTATCGGGAAGAAAGAATTGCCTTAAATTTTATCTAGAGCACTTTGCAGATGTTGTCTTGTACTTCAGTATATCATTGCAATCTAGTCATGTATGTTTTTCTCTTTCCTTCTTCCTCACATTCTCCAATACTTGATTTGCATATTGTGGGCATTTATTTTCTCCCCAATATTATAGGACCATGAATTTTGTCAGAAACATGATTCTCTCATCAGAATGGGGGAATTTTTTTCATGAGATGAAAAGACTTAGTAGTATTTATTAAGAAATTAGTAATAGATATGAATGCATTTAGATTAATGCAAAATGAAGATGACTCCAATAATGAAAGTTGATACGATAAACCATTTGGAAGGAGAACATGAGGATTCTATTCCTTTCAGATTAGTCTTACCTAACACTCCAGATGTGTGACATAATTCCTAGTCAGCATTGGAAATTTGAAGTTTAGGGAAGGACTGGATTAGTAGCAGAAAATACAGGTAGTCCTCAACTTATAACAATTCACTTAGTGACTGTTGAAAGTTACAATGGCATTGAAAAAAGTGACATGACTTTTCACTTATGACCAATTCCAGCATCCCCATGGTTACGTGATCAAAATTCAGACACTTGGCAACCGATTCATATTTATGACAATTGCAGTATCCTGGGGTCATGTGATCACCATTTGTGATCTTCTGACAAGTAAAGTTAATGGGGCAACCAGATTCACTTAACAATTATGCTACTAATTTAACAACTGCAGTGTTACACTTAACAATTGTGGCAAGAAAAGTCGTAAAATGGGGCAAAATTCACTTAACACCTGTCTCTCTTAGCAACAGAAATTTTGGGCTCAATTGTGGCTGTAAGTCGAGGACTACCTGTAGTGTTTCTAATGAGTTACAGACCTAATAATTCAAAGTATAGCTCATAAATTAATTGCTGGTCTGAATGTAGCATTACAAATATTTTACTTCAAAGTATTAAATATTAGGATAGTAGGTATTGTTACTTGACTTTCTATTGTTCAATTTGCATATAAAACTTTTAAATTTGTATTTATAATAAAATTTAAATCAGATTCCCAGCACAGTAGCAGAAACCTTTTGCACTACATTTTTCTTGCTCCAGAAACAGCAATAGCAAAATCATTTTTCAGGCTTCTGGTTCTAATCTAGCTTTTAGAAGAATGTGTGAAGAATGACTTAAAGCAACAGTAAGAAATGAAATCCTCATTAATCAAGGAAAAATGAAAACTTTACATAAAATATAACATTTTCTTATCTCATCCAGATATTGGGGATGGGGGAGTGGCTCATATTTGTAAACTTTCAGAGCAACGAACATGCAAACAGTCATAGTTTAATGTACAGTACACATTCTCACTTTTACTCACTCACTGCTAGGATATCATTAAGACTGACCTTCTCCTGGCCAATTCAAGATTGTTATCATGCTATCACTTAGTTTAGGACAGTAATTGTTCCTAGCAGCTTCTGTCTTATTTAAATTATGTCTTATTTCTACTAAGTTTGATAAAGATATCTTCAGTTGCCTGGATTTCTATTATATAATAAATTTTATTTGATTCTACGAAGGAGCAGGACTGAAAGACTACTCTAGAGTGAAAATTATTACTCAACTCCCCTCCCCTCCTTGCTTTACCAAGAAAGATACTTGAATCTGTGTACATGCTTTTGCTTCTCATTTGAATGAATATAATTTTTATTGGTGTATTGTTTGTCTTTCATTTGTAAATTCAAAGAAATTATATTTTTCATGGCTTTTATAGGATTTGAGGTAGGCCTTGGATACTTAACATTTATAAATTGCTGTTCTCTAAGAATGAGGTCCGCAAAACATGCCATCTTGCTGTTACTGGAATTGCAATGTTAAATATTAACATAAATCAAGAACAAATCATCATGAAACCAGTTTTGGACCTTGCTTGAAAACCAGCTGGCTGCCACAGTATAAGAAAGAAATCTAAGATGGTCAGGACGCTATGTTTTGTTGGACTCGAAGTATTTGTAATTAATTGAACTATAATTTCAAATGCCGCTATTAAAATATAATTTTGATGTATTTTTGCAATGGTGTGACACATGCTTATTCAACAGGAATACCTGCCTCAAAATTCAATGACGGATCAAGCCAGAAAATTCACCAAGATAACTGTTCCACCAAATTAATAATTGTAGGCTTACACATCTAAGAAATAATTACTTGTCCCCTCCCATCATATTATGAAAGTTAATTTCAGGTTGATTAAATGATCTTAGCAATATTTGAATTAACTCTTAATTTACTCTTCCCTGAACATTCCAGTTAGATAATCTAAAGGCAGGCATATTCCCGGTTTTTTAGAAGCTGGGAAGTTAAGATCACAGCTCTTATGCTATGGCTCAATAGACAGAGACACTGCTAGCAGTTTGCTTGCTGTAATTTTTCTTCCCAGACATGATTTGTACTCTTAGCTGACATTCTTTCAGGTCAGACTATGAATTATCTACTAGTGTTGGTCCCCATTAACAAGGGAGTCAGATTGAATCAACGAAAATATTATAGAAGATACAGCTGGGAGTATATAATGCTTATTCATTAAAATTATTCATTAAAAATAGCCTTAAAGGCCTGTTTATCTGCCAAGGTACTCAAGACAGGCATGCCACAAAGCATCCAGGCAAATCTTAAGGTTGCTTACCTTTTCACCCCTACTTCACGAGAACAAACATCCAACCTGTGTTTGAAATCCAGCACTAGCGAAGAATCCATTAGTTTGTAGACAGTAGAAAGGACCTTGCCTCATCAAGAGGGGCATTTACAGTAATTTCCAACTCTTAAAAAATAACTTTAAAATGGCTCTGGAATGAGGAAGCTTGAGGTTTTTGAAGAATGTTACCTATAGGAAGTAAAAGTATTGTACATTTGGAATGGCCAGTTTGGTATGAGCCAAATGTTTTGTGTTCTTTCATCACCCTTGTTTGCTTCTGACAGACTAAAGGGAGATTTAGAGTAGCTCTTGAGTTCTCCTAGATGTCTATCATCTATTCCAGAAAGGGGAAGCTCATAACTGGAAAGAAAACTATTTGCTTTACACTAAAAACCCCACTTCGCCAAGGCAGTGAAGGCAACCCAAGCCTAGTCAATGGATACATTAGCTTTCATTCATGTTTCTCAGATATCAGGGCTAGGTCCTGTCCTGAGCATTTTTCTACTAAACAATCACTCAGAAAACTTTTGAAGCTGTAGGGCAGGACAACAGAATTACAGCAGAAAGAAACAGTAGGTAAAGTACCTGCTCACAGCCATCTTTTCAAAATGGGTGGGGAACTTGTGTGGGGAAATGTTAATTTCTAACATTTCTGAGCCTTAATCAAACTGCTTGGGATTCCAAAGATTTCAGCAATTTTGTGAGGGCTTCAGATTCTCCATCTCTTAACAGTTTTCACGTGTATCCCATTGCCTTTTAAATCAAACATTGGCAGCAAAGCAGCTATTAAAAGCATTCTAAAACAGAGAACTGAAGTAGGATAGCCCTTGCTTTTATTCAACAAGCTACCTCCTTTTTGGATCACATCAGGAAAAATATTTTTAAAAACAATCCTGTCAGTTTCATGAGAATTAAAACAATGCTGTATCACCAACTACCTACACATAGTAAATAATATTCATGGTTAGACCACTTAAGGATTCCTCTATTTCTGTTAAATCTATGTAGAAAAAGACCCTATCATTATACATGTAGGACATGAGGATGCCAGAAATTGAAGTATAGCAATGTTTGGAAGACAAAAGTTCTCCATCCCTGATGGAGAGGACTATTTTTACTTAAATGGAAAAGCAGAATGGATTAATAAGAGCATTGTCAGGAGTTGTATTATAATAGCACTTTGTTTCAAATCTTGCCATTTTAAAGCAAAGAAGAATTTGCTTAAATATGAAATGCAGCATTAGGAGAAGTATACTTTCTTACAAACAAATATGGCATAAATTATTATAATGAATCTTTTCCACTTCTCTAAAAAGCAAAAAATAAAGGCTGTACAGGGGACAAAGGTGCATAGATAAAGGCAGTCAAAACAGCGGGGCTTCCCCTGCTTAAGATAAATATTGCTTAAATCTGTGATACACCTGAGTAGTAATTATTTTCAGAGATACAGCAGCTGTTGATTACATTTAGGGAGTTTCAAAAGCATTAGGAGGAAGTAAGACTGGTAAATGAAACTTTTAGACTTATTATTAAGAATGAAATAAGAGTTTAGAGAAATCTTCTCTAAACTAATCTCTTCAGATGCCTTAGACCAGGGCTGTCAAACTTGCGGCCCGTGGCCCAGATGCGTCATGCACTGGCCATGCCCACGCCCGGTTTAGCGGAGGAAGTCTTGATACGTCACGTGACTCCACCATGACCCGACTTTGACACCCCTGCCTTAGACTATAATAATCAGCCCCTTATCCACATAACAGCCTTGGAGGAAGATTACTTCTGAGCACAAAAGAACACTGCTACTCCTCAGTGAAACTCATATACAAATATAGTTGATGAATACAGATTGGCATGTTATCAGAATGTCAAACAGTCCCATATTATTATTCATGAAGGGACGGGAGTACATCAGTAGTAACATTTCAAATTTTACTGAAACAATTGCATTATTTTGATATGCAGCTGTCCCCAACTGATGCCCTCCAGATGTGCTAGAAATACTGTACAATCCAGAATTCTCACTTTGAGAATTATGATCCCAATATATCGGAAAGGTTAGGGAAGAGATGCTTTATTTACCCTAGTTTAAAGATATGTTTCCAATCGTTCCTAGAAGCTCTACACTCTTCCAAAGTCATTGACAATACATGATGCTGTGATTTAACTTCCCACTTTAGCTGGATGACCGTGGAATATAAAGACTCATGTTTCTTGTTCTAAGCCTGGACAATAAAAACTACGTTTGGTTTTGAAAGAAGGTCAGATCTTCCTGGGAGTCTGCTTTCGGAAAAGACTGATGGTTCCTGGGTGGTGTTGGTGGGGGAAAGGTTGGGACTTGTAAGACATGTCCAAAAACTTCACTCTGGGATGTTTCACTTTGTGCCAGTCTGTACAACAGTGGTTTAAGCAGGGCAATAGTAAGTTGGGATGATCCATCTTGTGCAAAAGGAAATGGGTTGAGCTCTACTGATGCTAGGTGTCGCTGAATAATGCTCAGGACATCAGCGGCACTCATATCTGCCGGACAGAGCTCCCACAACTTCTCCAAATAGGGGTCCAGTGCCCGGTGCCGGGAAAACTCCCCCAGGAGGTTAATAAAAATCTCTTTGTTTAGCAAAGGGCTCAATAAGGAGAATTTCTCCGCTGTCTCCATCACATGCTGCCATTTCCCATATTGGATAAGGAGACCCATGGCTTGGAGGATTGCTTTGGGCCTCTGGCTACAGAGCAAGAGCTCAATTTCCATTTCTCCATCTGCTCTTGGACATCTGGCACACCTTGGCAGTACAGCCAGTGCTCTCTTATACAGCGGCACACCACCCTCAGGCCCTTCTTTGCTTTTATAAGTCCAAGACGCACCCAAATATTGTTGGGATAGCTCCACAAAGTGAGGCAACCATTTAGGCTTGAACTCGAGAAGAGAAAGACAGACAAGTTCAAAGAAGGGGAATACTCCATTTGGAGGGCTTTCTTCTTGCTTAGTTGGGCTAGGAGCAGCTCCCCCCAGAATTTTTTTCCATACATCTGGAGTGGCTCTAGCTACCAAAATGCCATCCCCATTCTCTTGTAGCTGGAGATGGTTCTGGATAGCTTTCCAGAAAGCCCCAGGGAAGGCAGTGAATATGACATTCAGGTATGCCAAGTTCTCTCTGCTCAAGTCCAAGTGTAGAAGGCGGCTAAGTTCTTGCTCCACCAGGGCTTCACCATAGCTCTTTACCTCACTTTCTGAAGCTTGAACCACGTGCAACTTGAGGAACTCCAGATCTTGATAATTTTGCAGTTCTAACTGCATTGTGCTCAGGAGCTTGGTATAAGATTCGGGGAGGGACGTGAGCTTTTTTCCTTTGGGATCAAGACTATGGCACAGGATGGAAGACAGTGCAACAGGAGCCTGAAACATCCCCCCCTTCTTCAGTTTCTCCACAGTGAGTTGGGAACTACTGAGACTCCGTCTTTGATAGTATTTGCAGGCTTCTTCAAACACCACCTGCACCAGGTTGGATTCAGACTGGCAGCCTTGATCTGAGCCTGAGAAGTCAAGAATGTAAATGCCATCCTGAGCAAAGAGCTGGATTTCTTCTTCTATGGTAGGAGAATCCAAAAAGTGTACTCTTTCAGTGCTCAGGACTTTGTTTTCTATCAGTTCTCTACTGTTCAAATCCACAAGATAAAGAGTATCCTTCAGCAAGCAAGCCAGGATGTCCCCAAATACCTTTAGTTGGACGTACTCTCCTGAACACAAAATGCCTCCCTCAAAGTCAAAGACAGGTCGCCACACGCCATTAGGTTGGACTCCCTGGATGGTGCCCGTTCGCATGATCAAGAGCAGTTCTCCACAATTGGATAGGGCACAGCTGTGAACAGCCAAATTTTTCATGGATTCCAAGAATCCCACGTAACTCAGCACTAGCTTTTTGAAGTCTATATCGCTGCCTGCATGCGAGGCTTTTATGGAAACACACGGACCATGTGGCGCAGCAATAACAATATCAGCCATTTCAGGTCGCCAGATGAGGACAAACTTGGCTATTCTTGGGAAGGTGGCTAGGGTGGGGACAAGAAAGACTCCACAGGGTTTGGCCAAGACTTGGTAAACAGGGCTATTGTGCAAAATAACCCTGAGAGGGCTCAGCTGGACTTCCTGCTCTCCAACCTGAAGGCCTCGAACACAAATACAATACTGGAAGGCTCTTCTCTCAGGAGTCGGCTGAGCATCCAAAGGAGGCCTCTCTTCACACCACACAAGCTGGTCCCCCAAGCTGCAAATGGAGACAATCCGAGCCCGGGCTCCATGGCACAGTTCCAGGCTCTGCAGCAAGTGCCATCCGGAGGTGGGCACAAAGCGCCAGATTTCAGTCCTGCCTTGCTCCCAAATGATAGCC